GAAGTATTTAACCTAGGAACACTCCTTAAACTTAATGTTTTGTCAGCAGCAGAAGCAGTACCAGCTAATGCAGATAATGCTTCTGTACGGAATAATGGACTATTAAATAAACCACCAACACCTCCCCCTTCATCCGTTGAAGATGATGTTGTTTCTGTTGTATCCATTTCTGTTGGAGATGAAACTATATAATTCGATGAATCTTGTGGTGGAAATAATGGTGATGTTGATATTTTTAGTGGAGGCGGAGGTGGACGTGGTTGCTGCTGCTGCTGCTGATGTTGTTGTTGTTGTTGTTGTTCTGTCGATTTAGCAGGAGAGGGAGTTCTAGAACGATTAATTGATAATGGAGCTACAGGAGGTAAATTAAAATCAAATTCAGCAGGAGCTGTATTTGAATCAGAATCTAAACGTAAATTAGATGGCGGTTTCGTATTTGCAGCCGTAGCATCACTACTAGAGAGAAAATCTTTTGGTAAAAACACAGGTGTGGAAGGGGTAGGAGTAGGAATAGGAGAAGGTGGGGTAGAAGTATTTTGTAGTTTTGGAGGAGGAGTTGGAGGAGATAAATAAGGAATAGGAGTATTCATAAGATGGGGAGAAGGACCGGTTGCATAATACGGAGTATTGTGAGCTAATTGAGATTGTGAACTATTACTTGGAGCTGATCCCCAAGAATCATGTTGATCTACAGGCGTTAAATTTCTTCTTTCAGCAACAGAATTTTGAGTCGCAAATGGAGTAGTAAATGAAGTAACGTCGGTAACGTTAGTAGTTCCACCAGCACCACCTTGTGACAAAGATGATGGAGCATAATTCAAATTGTGTAATGGAGCATGACCAGCAATTGGAGGTACTGACGCTTGTTGTTTATCATAAGGCGTAGAAGCAAATGAATGTTGCTTCTTTCTCCTCCTCCTAACTAAACAGATTAATCCCGTTATAATAATTAAAAGTACTAAACCACCAACACTTGCTCCGATTATTATGTTTAAGTTACTTCCGGAATTATTTTCAGAAATCGAATTGCTTTCTGTACCACCATTTGTTCCATTTGGATCAGTTCTAGTCGCGTCAGGGATTGTATTAGTTAACTCGAGATCAATAGGAGTATAAGTTGATTCCCATGTATATGTGTCAGTATTCTTAGCATTAAGAACAAATAATTTTGTTCCAAATGTAAAATCATTTACCTTACCATAAGTAACAATTACTTTTGATCCAACCATGGTCATTGTATGAGAGTATCTTCCCGGTGGCTTGTCTCCCAATATTTGAGGGATTGACCACTCTAAACCACTTCCTCCTGTTTTTAATACTGCCACATCGTCAAAAATTTGATCAAATTTTGCCGTGACTCCTCCATATATAATAATTCTACCATCCGCTGTTCCAACTGCTCCATGTAATTTTCTTGTGTTTGGGGGAATTCCTGCGGCATTTTGAACCGTCCAGGTTGCTGCATTTGTATCATATACGGGAATTTCTGTTATTGATGCCAATGTAGATTGTTCACCACCTGTAACACCGGATAATGACCCTCCAATAATATACATTTTACCATCATTTAACAAGGTGGCAGAATGTTGAAATCTACCAACCGCAATTTGGCTAGCATCTGGTAATTTTTCCCATGAAATTGTTCCTATTGTATTTAATTTGTATAAATCCCCTAATGCAGTAACGCGTTGTTGATCACCTATAGGAGTTCCTCCCCATAAATAAGAAATCGAATCATTTAATCTTGTTACCATTGTATGATCAATTCTTCTTGGTGGACTATTTTCTATAGGAGTACTAGTAGTCACCCATTTTTTTTCTTTTGTATTATATACATATAATGTATTTGTTGCTTGTTCTTTTGGTTCTCCCCCAAACAAAAATAATAATTCGTTTTGATTTCCTCCTATATTACATGTGTGGAATGCTAAAGATAATTCTCCGCTTGATAATAATACCCATGGTGGGTTTTTTATATCAAATTGACTTGTAATATCTAAAGACATTAATACATTTGTATTTACTGATACATCTTCTAATACTTCTACTGTTGGATTTGATACAATTTTACCTCCATATACATAAAGACTAAATAATTTTTTTTTATATATATTAGTATTAGTTCTGAAGCATACAATCAGAATTTGAATAATTGATGGTATTATACGATATAGGGAATATGAAATCATGGAAAAACCACCATTAATTCATATTCCTTTAGATATCGCTTACCTATTGTTAATTAAAACAGCCGCGTGACCCCTGATAATGATCATATTTAAAGGTTAATTATTTAACCAATCAAGAGAAAAAAAAATAATAGGACACGTACTCATTAAATTTATTATTCTTACCATCTTCCTAGCGTAGGTGGTTGATTTTGAGCATCAACCGATATAATAATATATTGAAGAAATAGTGATATTCCAATTATAATACAAACACAACTTTTCCTTTTTCTTATATTTTGTACAATTTTTTGCATTGGATTATTATATTTATGATATTCTACATTCATTATTATTGGCAATATACTACAAGTAATGATTACGTAATATTCTATTATTTTTAAAAAAGATAAATTATATATCTTTGGTCGTAATTAATTCTTTTGACGTTCTAGAAGAAAAAAAAAAAAAAAAAAAACCTTTTTTACGTACGCGGACATCCGAGTTTGAATTTGTTGGTTTATAATAAAATCCATCCACTATCTTACTTTCAAGTTGTAAGTAGTTTTATTTACCCTACAGTCCTTTCACAAAGTTTGGAGTTTTTTAAATTAAGAACCAAATAGTAATATATAATATTCCCAAACATATAAAAAAGAGATACTCAAATATTATAAGAAAAATGAAAATGCAAATAAGAATGAAGTCTCTTTTTGTTAAACAAGTAGTTTCGTTAACGTTAAAAATGAATTTAACCTTAAATTTCATTGAAAAAAAAAAAAAAAAAACGAGGAAATAGCTTCAACCGTGTAACTCTTGCCCATTCTGTTATTATTATCCATATAAAGACATTTAAAGTTCAACTTTCGTTTAAAAATAATTTTTTATACTATTTTGGTTACAATCTTATTCAAAAACCGAACTTAGTATTACTATAAATAAAAAAAAACAATTTTATAATGTTTGTTATTTATGTCAAAATTTGAAGAATTCATGGGTAGATTGTGATAACCGGAAAATTGGTATATCTAAATTTATTGCGATGATCTCATAAAACGGACGCGTTTTTTTTTTTCTCACCGAAAAGTTTTTCACTCTGAATGCTTCTAGATAACATGTACAATTCAGCTAAATCGGAAAAAAGACATCGAATTAAAGAACTTCTGAAACGTAAACAACAAACTGCACATCCTAAAGTAAATGAAAGTAAAATCAACACGGTAACAACCAACTCATCAAATGTTACCACTGAAAACGTAGCCGAACAGCTTCCGATTGCTAAATTTATGACAACCACTAACAATAATACTAAACCTACCGATATCACCACTGAACTGTGCGTTTGTGTAATATGTGGAAAGGATCTTAGTTGCTCTTCTCTTAATACGAGAGAAAAGCATTTCAACGCGTGTCTTGACGATAAAATTGAAATTGAAACCAATTCTACTTCCTTTAAAAAGTCCGGTGAGAAACAACAGGAAAATAAAGAGCAAAAAAATTCTTTATTTGCCATTGCTATCGTATGTCCATGTTGTAATAGAACTTTCAAAGCTAAGACCGAGAAAGGAAAGCTTGAACATTTTAAGAAGTGTGGTAAAAAATATAAGCACACGCCGTCTAAAATGTTAGAATTTCTGCAAGAACTGAAAATTAAATATGGAAGAGATCATCCTTACACAATGAATTCGATTGGTTTGACTTCAAGATCTATTTCATCATTACACACACTTACAAGACCCAAAGAAAAGAAACTAACCAATTATTTCAACCCAATTTCTAAGGATAAAAATGAAACGGCTAAAATAGAACATACATATAATTATTTCGTTTCACGTTCGTATGACGTTTCTATACTTGATGATGATGATGATGATTTCCAGAGCTCAATAGTATTTAAAGCTATATCAACCGTAGAAAGTTCCAATAATTGTAAAAGGAAAGTCGATGATGACGACGATGATGATTTTCAAGTTGGCGTGGCATTATCAAGATCTATGTTACCGCCCGAAAGAAAATCTCGAAGGAAGAAAATTAAATACGATTTGAACACCACTCCAATATTACCTTGTGCGGAAGCTATTAATAAGGCTAAAGAACGAGCTGTATCAATGTTTTTCAATCGTCCAACCATTAACGAGATCACCAAACACTTATCTTCCAAACCAGAATTTTCGAAAAGTAAGGTGGGAGAAAAATACACTTGTCGAAATTACAAGGAAATAGAGGGTTACTCAAAACGAAAAAGGCACTCTTTTACATGGTGGGAAATACAAGCTTTTGGAGGGGATGACAATCCTTTATCAAGAGAGGATTATATTACTGATATGATTTGGCACTATCATACATAACCTTGGCAAAAAATTTTAAACCATTTAGTAAGTTAACCGGACCGGTATGCAGAGTTATTCTCATAAAATTATTTAAAACAGCCACCTATTAACACATTTTTATTATAGGTGTTTATGAGATTTAACAAAATACCAAAAGTATTATATTTGTGTATAACCTTTTCCTATTTTCAATTAGAAATCTCATATTTGTATTTACATTGTATGAAAAATTTTGAAGTTTTATTAGTTAAAATCGATCTAATAAATTGAATTCTTTAAAATTTTTTAAAATTTTTAAATGTTATAGAAAAATTAAATGAGTCAGAAGTAATTTTATTTTAAAATATTTTAAATTTAATAATATAATTTTGAATTCGATATGATATAATATAAAATATATTATAGAATTAAAAAGACTTTTGTATTATTACAAATAAAAATTTATTTGGCCGGAACGTATAAATTATTACGATTTGTTTTACGTGTATTACTTGAGATGGGCCTACTTATTTGCAAGGTTTTTTCTCTTTCTTTCCTGTTCCCAAACCTGAATGCTATCTGAATATTTATCTTTTAACCATTTTTTGGCATCGTTTAAGTGTGTCCTATCATCGAAATACATGTATATAATATTTTCCTCTTTATGCCACCATCCAAATAATTTTAGTGAAACATAGCAATCCAATATCTTTCCATCCCTCCAATTTTTAATTGTTTCGCCATCAGTTATTTCAAGAACAAAATTTTTTTCAGAACATGGTCCGAGTGCATATGTAAAACATTTATTATAATTATCCAAGTAATTAAAAGTTCCTTTCGACCTAAGATATCCAGATATTCCTATAGAGATGGATAGATATTTCACGTAAATAAAAGCATACGACTTCAAAAACAAAAAATATTTTTATACCTGATGACCAAAACCATATTTCAACCTTCCAGTTGAATAATAGAGCCTTATCTATTAGAGGACCATAGCAACCATCGCCAGCTATTAAAATAAGAGTACCAGGATCTTTTTGAAAGCAGACGCAAATTCCTTCAACTACAAGAGAAGTATCTACCATCTTCTCTTTATTTTCACAATTTCGATCAAAGACGTTTAGTATGAAACCAAGATTTCGAGCTTGTGACCATATCTCATCGTTGGGGGGGGCGGACGGGAACCAACAATAACTGGATCACTGCCCATTTTCCGTCCGTGCAATACTGTTGATAAAAGACGACCGTGATCGAGATGGAGTTGGTTGATAATATAGGAATCTCTATGGGAATCAAAGAAACCTGCTTGCTCTCTATGACCAGCAATATACTTTCCTTCAATAACTATGTTGGAATTGTCAATAAAAACAGATGCAAGTCCAGTGTTTGATTTTAAGATATTTGCTACAAGGGTGAGAGTTTTAGTAAGGCTTATAATAAATATATAGCAAAAAAAATCTCAAGTACACTTGCGTTTTTTGAGTTCCGCAATAAAATTTGCAAGTCTTGTCGCTAGTCATAATGCCAAGCCAATACTTCGAAAATCCTCTTTAGTTTGTTCAAGGAAGTCGCGACCCATTTACGAAATATTGCAAGGTCTTCGTCATTTAGATCCCTTTTTCGCAAATATTCGATTAGCGCCTCAGTGTCATAATTTTTAACTATATTCTCTATCTCATGAACGGGATCTTTGTCAGAGGAAACACAAGACATTTTAGAAAGAAATGATTTTTATTAGGGCAGTGACATACAGTGACACCTCCATAAGTGCACTCCCCTTGGGACCATAATAAAAAAATAGCAGAATGTGCAATTAGAGAGGGTGTGCATTTATAGAGAATAAATATTAAGAGCTCTTATGAGTTGGGACAAAAGCCTACTGTGCATTTAGAGAGAATTTACATAGAGTGTGCACTTATGGAGGTTTCGCTGTATATTACCTGATATCACGTGAATGAAGATCATTTTCCTTTTATAGAATTCGTATATCAGTGTTAATAAAATATACTATTATAATGTATAAAGTTAATAAATTAAAAATTTTATTGTAAATTAAGTGGTATATTTTTACATTGAAAAAAATTATTTAAATTCTTCCAAGTGTTCTAAATCCATAAGTATTATAAATTCAAGTTCTAAAAATCCTATTTGATATTGATTATCAATATCTTGATGTTTTAATTAAAATTTCACAGAATTATAATAATCATGTGGGATTTCATTTAATTGATTACAAAGTTTATGATGCATTTAATTCTTTCTTTAAACGTGATATTATTCTATCTCTAATGTTAAAATGAGCTGTCAAACCTTCTTAATTAGCCTTAAGTTTAATAAGAAACTGATTTATAATTCACTAGCAAATAAGTATCAAGAGTTCACCAATGCTTATGTATATAGTATTATAGTTAAGATAGGAAATTGTATAATCATTTTGATATTTATCATGAAGTTACAAAAGAATGAAATAAAATTAAAAGTAAAGGTGGATTAGAAATTGATAATATAATCAAAAATTATCTGGCTATACTATATGGTCTATACAATATACAAACAATGAAAGTAAGGTTATATATGTCTATAGAAGATCAGACTTCTCCTCTTCTTATTACTCATTAATAGATTCTATATCAAAAATCTCTGCTAATACATCAGCACAAAAAAATATAGTAAATAAGATAAAAAAATCAAAGAAAACTTGATAAGCTCAATCAAATCTATAACATCACCATAGATCTTTAACTTTAGCATGATATGCATGTAAAAATAAAGAACTTTTAAGTTAAAATTGAATCTAACAAAAAGAAATCATTAAGTTAAAAAAGAATACAAAATATGCTTAAAGGTGTAAAGAAAAAAAAAGAAAGCACTTATTGAAGATTAGAAAGTGATATTATATGATAAATCTAGTCATTCTTCACTTCTTTTTAAGTATTTAAATTTACATGTTCATATTCATGATTTAATCATATTTAAAATAGCAGATGAAAATGAAGGAAAGAAGTTGTTAAGATGCGAATTATTGAAAATTTACGTAAGAATCTTGAAAATGTCTACATGATGTAACAACATTGAATAATTATTTGCTACCTTATCAATCTAATTCTATTATTACAAAAGTATATCATCTAGCATAGGTCGCAGTAGCTGGAGTTTTATATACTGAAACATAAGATTATCCTGTTAATCACTACTATCTTACGTTTGTTAAATACGTAAGGCAATTTACTATTATTATAGGGTAATAATTATATGATCTACAAATGATCTACAATTGTGACATAGTACTGAATGTTAAAAATGTCAAACATATTAAACATGTTTAACATATTAAATATATTTAATATATTTAATATAGTTAATATGTTTAATATATTAAATATGTTTGATATAGTTAATAAGTTTAATATAATTAATATATTTGACATAAATTAAATATATATGTATAGAGAACTAAATTTATTAGAAAAGATAACTATCAATTGCTAGATGCAATCTGATCAGTTTAGTGATAACTGTATACAACTTCCTTTTTATAAAGATAGCGCAAGGCTACTCTTTCCTGTTTGTGATCAATTCACCTTTTTTGTATTTCTTATTTTAGTATTTTATTCTTTTAGTTAGTTTATTTATCAATAAACTCTTTTTACCTAAGATGTCTTTGTAAAATTTTATATTAAAAATGTAATTAACATTTGACTTAACTGATGAAAATATACTCAATAGTATATTGAATATACTTAGCAGTATATTATGGATAAATCATATGTTTATCAAAGGTTTAAATATATTTTTCAGTATATAATAGAATCTTGTTTAACTTAAAAACTATGAATTTACTACATAAACTATAAAAGAGTCAACCTTCTGATATTACGTCTAATAGTTGCAACCTGAAAAGATTATACATTAATATTTAACAATGATGATGGGATCCTCTTTTCCTGTTTATGTAGTAATATGTAAACAAATCATTAGAAATATATTTTGAAATACTAAACATCAACGCTTATATTATAGGAATAGATTATAACTTGGACAATCTTAATTTTTACATACAATAACTTATTACAGAAGATATTATCAAAGCTTAGACTATTTTTAACAGATAAAATTTTTAGAAGACTGATCACATGATATCAAAAACAATATGATATTGGTAGACAAGATAATATTTATTTAGTAAGAAAATAACAAGAGTAAAAGCAAAAGTATCAACAGTGTGATTGGTAGCTTTTAAAGTAATATTAGAAATGTAATAAGCAAAAATGCAATGATATGCAAAATTTTATTGAATAATTGAGAAATACAAATTTTTAAAATACATCAAATAGAAAGAAAGAGAAGAAAAAGAAAAAGGAAAATAATCTATTTCAATAAATTTTCTGTATAAAGCTGATTAAATACATGATTATAATTATTATTAAGTTACTTGACTGATTGATTTAATACTTGAATTCTTTCTTGATCTTGTGATGACTATTCTCTTGAAGAATATATAATTCTCCTTTATGTCAATTATATGCTTTTTTGAGATGATTAAATCTATTATCTCAATGATATAAATGAGAAGAAAGTTCAGTTAGTTTTATTTCTAAAAGATTACATTTTGCAGAAATTTCAGAAATTTGAGAAGATAAATTTGAAAATTGTTCTCTTAAACCTAAATTTTCTTAACGTAATTTTAAATTTTCTTGACGAATATGAGTTTCTTGAACTTTTTAATGAGAATCTATAATCTGAATAAAGAAAGGACGCATATTAGAAATGTAAAGTTAAGTATCTTTGATCAGAGAATACTAGTTCACTAAAAGGTTAGCTTAATGAATCCAATGATATTCTAAAAGGCTACATATCGATACAGGATAATAGAGGCTGTAATAATTAGTTCTAAGCAAGAATAACTCACATTCTGAGAATCTATAATATAATAAAAAGAGCAAAAAGTTAATATATTACCGTTATATTAAATAAAATTAAATGTATTGTTACAGTTTATACAGGTGATAAGCATGCATATAGCCATCTACTTTAGTTAAGCTAGTAAGAGAATATATTTTTCCTTCACCTCCCAATCTAGAATTATTTTTAAGTACACCTAGGCTTACCCTGAAAAATTCTTTCACTTCTACGTTCTCTTTAATGATATACTGCTTTACATTTATTAGAAGGAGATCTTTTCTTATTAACGCATGTCATATTAAAGAAAAGAAAAGAAAAGTTTTGTGAAAAATAGAAGAAATCTTAAATGAGATATTTATAATCAAAAGAAGTGGCTATGAAAAATTCTAAAAATTCTTAAGACTGTAAGAATTATTTTTTTTTAGAAAGATAAACAAAAATCTATTGGATCACATTGGATAACGATTATTGCATAGAAATCTATAGAACAAAAACCTGTTTAAAATTAGTGTAGTTGATCAATATTACCAAATTAAATAATCACACAATATTTGCATAACACATTTTTGATCAATATTTCTTTATTTAATATAAAATTTAGGAATTTTCGTAAGCTACATAATTTTAAGAGTTTGGCAAAATACATGCATGAAAATCAAGGAATATAAAAATATTAGTTTTTATGAAAAGAAATTACTTGCAATATTTACGTAGTTTATACATTGAAAAATAGTTCAACAGCATAATCAGTTGATTTTAGATTTGTACTCAGCAACTCTTTTATGACAAATTACTTAACTATTAGATTTCAATAAACTTGTTTAATATAAAAAAAATAAATATATCATAAATGAAGATTATTCTATATGATAGAATTTATGATTAAACGTTAATGTAGATAATATGAATATAGCAGGATATTTATGAAGATTTTATTTTTTTTATTTATTTATTTAATTTTATTTTATTTATTTTTTTAACTTATTGAAACAAATTAAAATAATTTAGAATTTTTGTAAAACAAAAATCTTAAGAAGGGAGTTATGTTACAGGGTAATAATTATATGATCTACAAATGATCTACAATTGTGACGTAGTACCAAATGTTAAAAATGACAAACATATTAAACATATTAAATATGTTTAATATAGTTAATATATTTAATATATCAGATATGTTTGA